GAGAGAGAGAGAGAGAGAGAGAGCAGACGACAAGCACGATGCCCGCCAAGCACACATGGGAATACAGAGAGAGAGAGAGAGAGAGAGAGAGAGAGAGAGAGAGAGAGATCAGCGAGTGTTGCTGTGCGCCACGGCATGGCCGTGGCGGGGTCCACCTGTTGAAACTAAAAGCTAATTGTTTGAGTGGTTTTCCTTTCCAGCAACTGTTTTTCATACCGCTTCGCTCCCAAATCATTTTTTGTGTTTTTTTGCTTTGCTTTTCCAAACGGGTTTCATAATACAAAGTTACCTTCAATTGAAGGCCAAATAACTCATGGAGTTTCATATAATGCAAATTTTCATGTATTAATTGTTTTGTTTCTATCTGTATGACAATCAATAAAATTGTTTACGGATTTTCGTTTCAAATTGTTCTCTAGACTTCTTATCAATATGATAGGGGGCAGAGAGCGCAAACAGGTAACCATTGCCTGTACCCGGCCGTACACAACTATAACAGCCAGGTTACAGGCGGGTATGGGTACCTCTTCCGAAGGGGGAGTTGGGTATGGGCAGGCACAAACAAAAGGTGGTGGTTGTTAGGGCGGGCACAGTTGCCCATTTTGGAGATCATTGATGGGTAGGGAGAGGTAGGGGCAGGACTAAAAACAAAAAAAAAGGGTATATGGGTGGCCAGAAAAAGAAAATAGACGGGCATGGGCAGGTACACGTGACCAAAAAGAAAGCAGGTGGGTAGGGGGCGGTAGAGGTTCCCAACTTCCCATCCGGTAACCTTGATAAACGCGATATTCCTCACTTTTCGTTTTCCCATGAAGCAAACATTTTTTTTTCACAAGGGTGAATTTTATCTCTTCCTTTTTTCGTTTTTTGTTTTCCAAAATTTTCATACGTATGTAACCCTGTGTATGTAATATTTGTCTGTGTGTGTGTGTGTGTGTGTTCGTGTGTGTGTGTGTGTGTGCAGGTCTGCATGTGTGTGAGTGAGAGAGTGTATGTCTGTGCGACAACCACGGGTTGTTGCATTTACAGATGCGATACAGGTGTTATAGCTTGCTGTAGCATCAGATGCTTCCGTAGCAGCATCAGAGTGACCAGATATAACAACTGTTGCTGTTGCGGCAGTAGCTGCAGGAGCTGCCACATCTCGTAAAAAGTAAAATAAAATAATAATATTAGTAATAATAAAAATTACCACGTCAATCCTGTAACGTCCAGTGGGTTGGGGACAGTTGGGGTGGTTAAGGACAATTAGGTTAGGGACAGTTACGGGCGGTTAGGGACAGTTAGGGGCGGTTATGGGCAGTTAGGGGAGGGTGGGTGACGAGCACGGTGGTAACAGGTGGGTGCATACAATTATGGGTAGGTACGGGTGGGTACAGGTAAAGAAAAAACTTGGGTGAGGTAGGGTATAGGTGGTTAACAAACGGGTTGGGTTCAAGTGGCCATGGGTGTTTTTTTTAAAAAAGGTCCATGGGTACACTCTTTATTTTTTTTTTAGCTGGTGGAGATGAGTGAAGGGTCCGGCAGGCCAGGTATACAGTGGGTATGGTTGGTTGGTTTTCAAAGAGGGTGTGGTTAGGTTAGGTACAATTATTCCTAAAAATTCAATTGCGAACTCTGATAGGAGGGGGGGGGGGGGGGGGGGGGGGGGGGGGGTTGGGGTTGTGTGGCATGAAGAAATCATGGCTCGTAGGAAAGTATTAGGGAATGGAACGGAGTTGCGACACAGTCGTCCGTCAAGTCAGTCGAGCCGCACTCCGCTAACGTGCAAAGTGAGAATGAATCTCCAGCTGGAAAATGGAAAGATACACTGCCATATTTTTCGGTCTTTTGTGCATGTGAGAGTAGCGGAGGGAGACCAAATGCAACGGATGAAAAGAAGGGATCAGACAATTGAAAAGAAAAGAAGGGTGACAAGAAAACATAACGTAACCAAAGAGAAAAGGCAAAGGCAAGGCAATGGCCACAACGGGCGATGATTCAACCACCAGTACTTCCAGGACGACACTTTTCTCCGAGGCTGGAAATGTGACGTGCGCCCGAAAAAAATGCGAATCGTGAAAACTTTCTTTCGGCTGGCGTCGCCACCCATTTTGCGGCGGTGGCCAAGGCCTGAAAGTTGCAGCACATATGCCAGAAGGGCCACCAATGGCCAGTGAGTGTATTGGTACTGTTGGTTTAAATCACCAGTACCTCGCCCGGCCATTGCCCTCCAGCAACGCAACCGCTGTACACACAAAATTGTATGCCTCGCCCAGCCAGACCAAATTGGCACTGGGCGAGGCACCGGCCAAAAGAAGACCGGCACACTTCATCATGAATCATAATTCTTTTCAAGCGCGCAGGAAGTTTCAGGATCGGCAAATTGTTGGCTAAAGGTACTGGTGGTTTAAACCACCAGTACATCTGGAGAAACTGAAGGAGTCTCTCCGAAACGTTTGGGGAACTCGGAACACGGCCCGCCTGGGGGCGTCGGAATTTTTTTTGCTGTTCAGGGCTTGGCCTAGTGCCACCCCACGGCATGGGACAAATTTTTGTTTTCCTTGTACTGCGAGTTTGACCGGCATTGCCGAAACAACCCCTTCAGCTGATGAAGCAAGTGCATACTCACACTAGACCCTCAAACTCACAAAAACACAAAACGAGCGGCCAGATCAAGTCCTTGTAAAGGAAGGACAAGATCTGGCCGCTCAATTTGCGATTTTGCAATTTCGACCGGCCTAGTGCAAGTGCGCCCTAATTCATTCAGCAAAAGCACAACAAAAGCAATGAGCATCATGATTGAAATTAATTTCCAAGGACCACCACCACCTTTCCCCTACATCGGGCCGCAGGGAGGGTCTCTGCTCACTCTGGAGGCCAAAATGGATCGGCAGCCTCTGATAAAATGTATCAACAGCAGTCGTCGTTGGTCCCGGACCCAGAAGAATATGGTATTCGCCTACCGTTAGGTTATATTCCCACTTTTCACAGCACTAAAAGGTAGTAAGTGTTCCTTTCAAAAAAAAAAAAAAAAAAAAAAAGAACACCATTTGACACAAATGAGGGTTCCAGTGGAACAGTGAAACGCGCCCCTTTTCCATCATCAGCACCCGAGCCTCTTCTTCCGGGTTCCAGGGTTCCAGTGGGACAGTGAAAAACCTGTTTGTAACTGTGTTGATTGACATGCACATCACAATGGACATGTGTGCTGAGGTGAACTGGGGTCGCTGGCTTCGGCAATCGCCACACTACTCACGAAACGAGAAAAATAGTGCATATTCACACACATCGTGGAAAAACAGATGCATCCACCTTCGGTGTCCATATTACCTCCCAACCTTCTGTGTCCAGATGCCCTCCCATTTTCCTCGTTCCGTGCATATAGTGGCAAGGCCCTTAATTCAATCGAGTGTGCGACCGACCGCAAGAGTAGGTGGGTGGGTTCTTTGAGGACAAGTTATGGTAGTGGAAGTTGGATTTGGATTGGATTTGGATTTAGATTTTGATTTGCAGATTTTGAAGGAAATTTTGAGCTTGCGAAACAAGCAGTTGGGAGTGTGGCTCCACCGTGTCCGTGTGCTTCGCCGGCCCGTGCTGTTCAGCCCATCTGCGATGCAAATCTGGGATGCCCATGCGCTCAAGTCGACCGAGTGCTCCGAAGTGGCTCGCTCGACCAGAGATCAGCGGTCCCAGGGAGGGATAGTTTTCCCCAAATTCGGCATTTTTTCACTTTTTTTTTCTCTTTTTTTCTGAACACACGATTTGGGCTTTTTTTTTTAACTCTAATTTTCACCAATCGAAAGAAATCTAAGCCTGCATTTGACAAATACTGGCTCCTAAATCCATCAGTGAGGAGCTGCACCTGCTGGGAACCGGGTACAGCAGGCCATAACAGAATATGTAAAAAAACACTCTTCCGCGGGAAACCAGGCCCAGTGTACCTCCCGGAAAGAGAACCAGCGCAAGCTCTTCCAAACTCACACACCTCTGTGACTGGCAGCATTGATTCCTCCTGGACTGCTATGTTTGCCCTAAAACTTATGCACGATCCATTCACGCCTTGGCACGCTGTTTAGATCCCACGAGTTGAAGTACGGTCAGGATTGCCTTCACACACACACACACAGAGAGAGAGAGAGAGAGAGAGAGAGAGAGAGAGAGAGAGAGAGAGAGAGAGAGAGA